GAAACTATTTCTTGTTATATGACATCCCTACACTATTGAGAATGGCTGCATTTTGGTTTGCAATCATAACAGACAAGCAAAGAACAGTAGAAGAATGGTGAGAAAATCTGCTGGGGAAAAAAATCTAATTTGGGGGCACAGTGGTGCAATAATAGGCTAAGGTCAACTCTAATGAACCCTCTCACAAATACATACAACGCCATAGAAAGCTGGCTAATTATTTATTCCATATTCCACTATTTGCTAAGTGAGTAAAAGTCCACTGTAATAAGCTATTAGAATACCCAGTCGTTTATTTTGCTATGATGCCTTTTATTCTGCAGTTTAATTTCCAAACAACATGGTCCCTTATTCCCCTACATCACATACTATTTGCATCTGCCTCAAACAAAGAAATGAAAGAATATCATAATATATAATCTCTTAAAAACTTATGATGTCTTCTGCAGTTTTCACAATTGCTTTATTTTTATCACAGTCACCTCTATATCAAGAATAATAGCCATAACTGGTCTGGATAATTATTGCAAGTTCAATTCTATTCATTCAACAAATATTAACTGAGCACCTATTGTGTCACTGTTTTAGGCACTGGGGCAGACTACTCCCAACTTTGCAGAGCGTCCAGTGAGGTATGGAGCCTGTGTAGGCAAGAGAGAGATAGAAAGCAAACAATAATCTTATGGGAAAGGTGACGAATGATGTGGTAAAGAACAAAGTGGAAGCCAAAGGCCTGGGGAAGGTGTGCATCTTATATAGTTATCAAAGATGGCCTCGCTGACACGGATAAAGGAGAGCTCAGAAGTGAACCAGACATCTGGGAGAAGAGTATTCCAAGAATAACAAATGCCAATGCCTTCAGGCAGGAGCACCCAGCAATTTCCAGGGAAAGCTGAGGAGAATAATGTGGGTGAAGTCAGAGGGAGCAGGAAGGCAAGGACAGGGGATGAGGAAGGAGAAGCTGAGGGAAGGGAGGGACTGCCGGTCTCATAGGGCCTTATAAGGCACTGTAAGACTTTGGCTTCTATTTGAAATGAGGTGAATACCCATTGGATGATCTTGTATAAAGGAGTAACATGATCTGACTAGTATTATAAATGGATCATTCTGGTTGCTTTACTGACAAAAGATTACAGAAAGATAAGAGAATAAATCACAGCATTTTGCAATCATCCAGGCATGAAATAATGGTAGCTTAGTCCAGGGTGGAAGTGGCTGGCAGTGATTAGATTCTGGTCATATCTGGAGGGTAGAGTACATCAGTTTTATTGATGAACTGGATGTGAGGTGTAAGCTGTCATGTACTGAAAGAGTTAAGAATATGAGAGGAACTGGAGTGGGGATAGAAAGCAAGGAAATTGGGGGTGAAGTTTTGGATATGTTTGAGATGCTTATGAAACATCTAAGAGGAGATGCTAAGTTGGCAATGAAGATATACAAGTGTGGATTTCAGGAAGAGGTGCAGGCAGGAAGGAGAAGGCTAGAACTCATCAGGAGGCAGTAGTGAAGCCACAGACAGACACAACTAGGGAACAGCTACAGACCAGAGTGGTACAGAACTGGGTCTTGGGGACCTGCCAGCTCTTAGAGACGGGGAAGCAGAGAGGCTCCAGCAGAGGAGACTCAAGGGGAACAGCCACTGAAGCAGAAGACTCAATAGAGTAGAATTCCAGGAGCCAAGTTTTTACAAGCTTTTCAAGGAGAGAATGACCAACTGAGTCAAATACTCCTGAAAGACTAAGAAAGGTGAAGGTTGAGCACTGGCCACTGTGTTTAACAACTGGTGGTCACTGCTGACCTTGATAACCACTGGTTTGGGAGAATGATGGAGGGGAAAGCCAAAGAATGTTGGGGTTAGAGGCATGAGACTGGAAAAAACTAAAAAGGGCAATTTTCCAAATAATTTTGCTATAGAGAAATGACATGGTAGCTGGAGGGGCAAAAAGGGAGTTCAAGAAGTTCCTTTCTAAGGTGGGAAGAGGACATGTGCTATAGTGATAGCAATGAGCCAGCACAGAAGCTGAATTTACACTGAACGGTGAGGATTTTCTTTACTGATATAGATACATTACAGTAGGTAAGAGACCTATTGTAGTTCACAACAATGTCCTTTAGGAGAGCATCCCCAAAGATTTCTCTCAAGAGAGACGATATAATGGATATTAACAGGATCATTGAAATATCTAGATCAAAAAGAATTATATGGTATCAAATCATTCAAAACAGGAAGGCACTCCATAAGGTTCCTTTCCATTAGAGCCAACCCAGGTCTCGATGCATTCCTGCCACAGTAGCTTCCCCAGTCTGGTCCACAATAAGGTACCAGACTGACTGCTTTTAAAAGTATTTTGGTAGCTCACCTTAAACCCACCAAAATGGAACTTCTAGAGATGAGATGCAATAATCTGCATTTTTAGCAAAAGCGCCCTAGGTGATAAAAGGTACAATTATGATTGAGAAATATTGCTCTCCTATAAATGCTTCTTTCTCCTGATTCTCAGCCTTCTAAGAATCAGGTAAGAAAAGGCTTCCCTCTATGGAGCTGCACAGCAGAGTGAACCCGGGTGTGCCTGACCGGTGATGGTGACATTCGCAAGTGTTAGCTGTGCAGGCATGAGCAGTGGGCCAGAATAGCAGGCGATCTTCGTTATGACACAAATAGATGTTAAACTCCGCTGGTGCGTCTCACTCCCTACCCATGAAGGTATGGAGTGACTTGACCAGCGCCCTAATTTATTTTTCATGTTTCCTCCATCATCTATCTTATATCAGGCCCTAATGCCCAGCAAGTAGAAGTATGTATTTGATTTTGAGAAAACCTACTTCTGAAGGTTCCAGAGTGCTGTTCTTTTCATACAGAAAGTGGTCAAGAAGCCCTGTAAACTTAATTCCTCATCTCCTCTGGTTTCTATCCTTCCTCCCTCCTCCCAACAATTACTAATATTTAATAAAATGACACAAGAGCAGTTCTCAAGGACAAAGAACAGATCTGGAAGCAAATGAGTTAACTTCTGCTTCAATACACTCAAAAAGATAAGAAAACACTTTTCTTTGTCTAGAAGCCTAGACTTGTTTAAACCCAGACTCTGTCGGGTAATGCTGGCATTTTCAGGGAGGGTGTTACATTATGTCAGTTAAAGACCAGTATTGAAATATTTACTTTTCTAAGAAGAAATTTCAGGTATTTGTGTGTGTGTGCACACGTGTAGGGGCATATTGATATTAGAGAAGGACAAAGGGTAGGAGAGAACGGGGAAGAGTTCAAATAATTGAAGAACCATACAAACAGACTTGATATTCTGGATTTAAAATTTTCTCACAATTTTACACCTGATCTATAGGGTGGGCTTTTCTTTTCTCTCTTGAAATACTTTGAAAATGCTTCCAGACTTTAGCACTTCAGCCACACCTTCAGTGGCTCAGAATCTAAGGTTGGAAAACTGTAGGTCTTCTAGTCCACAACCTTTTTTTGCAAATAAAGTTTCACCAGAACTAAGCCATGCCCATTCATTTGCACTTTATCTATGGCTGCTCTCTGGCTTCGAGGGCAGAGCTGAGTAGTTGTTGAGAGAGAATGTATAAAATGTTTATGATGTGGTCCTTTACAGGTGAAAATTTGCCAACAGAGATCTAAGAAATTTAAATATGAAAACAGAGATCTCTAACTAAAACCTCTTCACCCTCTTTCCTGCAGGCATACTGCTTTAAAATTTAGTCCAAGGAAACCTGAATATTATGTTTAAAAAATGAAGGAGGAAGTCTATTCAGAAATTTTACAAGATAAAAAAATTCAAACATAGTTGATACCTAGAACTACTTATTATTTCATATAAAAAGAGGGCCACTTCTTTCCCCCTGGTAAATGAACGAGCAAAAGAATTAGCAGTTAAAAGGTGCTAGAGATTTAACTCATTTCAAAAATCAAATCTGTGATATTAACCTGTAACTCCTAGATAGCCCAAGAAAATGAAACAAGTCAAACACAAAGACAAGGAAACCAGCACTGCTGGAAAAATTAGCACCATCTTTCCCATGATGCTCCTGTCAGACCTCCCCAAGTGGAGACTTCATGGGCAGTGGCAGCAATGAATGGAGGGAAACTGATTAATCAGACCCAACAGCAATCTTAGCTGGGAGAGCAAGGAAAATGACATGTTGAAAACTGTAAAGAAAGTGGAAAATTCGGGTAAATCTCATTTAGGTCTTTGTGAGAACCTCCCTCCCTTGTCCTCTGGGTGGGAAGTCAGTCTTACACACAGGCCTCCTTGTACTTCTCCTCTCAGAGCGGATGGACAATTTACATCACGAGAATACCCTGCCAGCTGGCACTCTCTCCATAAGCGACTGATTATGAGCAGATGCCTTCCTAAGATAAGTAAAACGAATACACCCCCTTCATTTTTCATTCACCCCCCCCCCTCTGCAGAGAAATGGAAATGTAGGCTCCACACACAATATCTTTTAGAAACCAGTCAGTCTGTGTTCTCTGCTTCCCTTTATCAATCTATCAGGGGCTGTGCTTAGACTTGCTATTTGTTTCTGACTACCTCACCCCCCACCAAAATATCTAAGATATATGCAATCTCCCTACATTATTTGTAAACAATCTTACTCCTACATGCAAGCATCTGTTTATTTTTTATAATGACTTGGATTAAACACTAAATCCTTGTGCGCCTCAATTTAGAACATTTGATAATCTACAGCAACAAAGAATCAAAACTTCTAACCAGAAGTCAATCCAAATTATTACATAGTTCTGTTTAAATCTTGTTAAATTGTGTTCCTTTTAATGTACATTATAATTTCAGAGCCATATTTGTTTTAAATTTCTCTTTAGTTGGAAAGCAATAAAGAGTTTCAATGTCCCCTTTCAGAGAGCGGGAAAATTCTCCATGATCACTCCTGCATTTGTTTTATAAATTATGCATACACCCCTTTTAGGGAGGGGCTGTTGAGAGCTAAGAGAAGACCATCTTACAAATTATTTACATAGCATATTTCAGGTAGGTCAGTCAGATTCCCAGTACTTCAAAACCATGAGACTTTCTTATCTGCATTTCCTTCTACATTGAGAGCAAACATTTATCAGTGATAGCAGAAGAAATGTTCTCCAAATCCATCCTTAGCCATATTTCAAAGAGACAGTGCTGCAGCTCTCACCCATGGGAGTATTTCACGTTGCCACAATGGGACTTGTTCTACCTTCTATTTACATTCTGGAGAACAGCCAAAGTCTTCTCAAGTTCTCTTTGATCTCATGCCAGAGACTTGGTATCCAACACCCACCAAGAAGAAATTCCCTTAGGAGTCCTGCAACTAAAGAGTTAGGAAGGAGTTGGAAAATATTCTATAAACCCACCTTCCATCATTCCACTCCCCAGTTTATGAATCCGCACTGGATACCTGATCCAGTGCAAACTCCTCAGGCATGTTATTGCAAAGCATTCGTAAGTCTGAACAATTGTGCTTCATTTCATATCACCAAACCATGTATCACCTAAAACTCTCCAAGTAAGCTGAAACCTCTACTCCAGTCTTGCCATCTTTTTAACCATATACCATCTCTCACTTCTGAGTCACACCTGAGCCTTCGCTCCTTCCAAACCTTACCTGTCTTTTCAGGTTGAGACCTAGTGCCACTCTCTCCATGACACTTCTACCTTGTATTTTCATCTTATTTTTCTAAACACACAGCACTCACTGTGGAAATCAAATAATTCAGTACTTGATCATTAATTCTATAAACTTCTTTTCCATTATAAGAGTTTAATTTATTCAAAAGCAAAGAATCTATGCTTCCTTGGTTATCCTCTATAATATAGTATTTTTCAAGCCATTCTCACCATGGTGCATTAGAGAGTAGTTACCCACAACTTGGAAAACACTGCACTACAATCTTTCAGGCACTGTCACTGGCAAAGACAATGCTCATAAACATTTGTTTACTGGCAGGCTGACTTATCTACCAAACACAACAGGTCAGAATTCTACAATGAAAACACGTTTTCTGGACAAAGACATAAAATTTAAGACCTTCCAATTATTTTAAAAAGGGCAGTATAAAAAAGAATCTTTGTATGTGGTGGTCTTTAACAAGATCAAAGGGAGAAAAAAAAAAAGGTTTTCCTAAAGCTCAAGGGCAAAAATTCCATTCATCAACATGGCATCCTTAAGAGGGCCAGAAGCATCAACCCTGCCTGCACTAACCCTTCCACAGAAGTCCTTTTTAACAGCTCTGAGTCCAGAAGAACTCCTTCAACCACCCTTTATCCAACACTGGATAAACCTTCATGGTAGTAACAAGAATTTCCTCTCTATAGGGTAAATGGACAGATGCCCAGTGCGAAGGGGTTGGACATTTTAAAGATTTATTTATACAAGCACTGGGTACAGTCAGAAGCCTGGGAGGGTGAGAGAATTCACCAGAGCCAGATCGGGGAGCAGAGCAGGCAGAAAGATCGAGGTACACTGCTGAGGGGAGCAGTGGGCACAGCAGGAGAGGTCTGCGTGCCATGTGGGACCCTTGCTGGTGGCCTGGGATCGAACCGGTGCTACAGAGGCTGCAGGCAGTTTCGCAACCCAGCGCTCAACTGCTGTACCACCAGGGGAGGCCCGAGGTTGGACATTTTAATAGAGAGGAAACCTTTGGATATTTATTGGGAAACTCGGTTCTGTGTCTCATGATTATGATACTTTTTTCAGGGGATTATCAGTATCTGAAATTATCTCTTTTGGTTTTTTTTTTCCCATTTCTTGTTTATGCGTACTTGTAAGCTTTTGAGGACCAGGACTCTTGCCCAGTCTCCTGCTACCCTCTCCCCTTTATTTTAAGATCTACTGTTGTTGTTGCCTTTCAAAGGAAGTGTGTTTGACTAGTAAAATGAGTGATAACCCAACAGGAAAGAGAGTGACCCTGTAAGTCTGGTTTGTTGTTTGTTTCATTCATTTACTGATTCATTTATTTTATAAACATATGCTAAAATGTACTGTTTGCAGGGCAGGGGGGTAATTCTTGCCCTAAAAAAATTCCGTATGCTATGAAAAGGGAAGACACAAATCATCAAAAATGCAAAGTGAGAGGACTACACCAGGTAGCAACCATATGTCTGTTTTCTCATCCAGAACATGAAGAGTTTTGACAAGACTAACTTTAACATCCAGCTCCAAATCAATTTAATTATACAATCTTATCACTTAAAGTGACATTTCTAAGGATACCTCCCTCACGAGACCCTTCCAACACTTTCTTTTCCTAGAGCAACATTCAAGGAAATGCCTAAATGCCCCAGGAACTGATTTCACTAAGACAAATGACACTAGAGACATGAAATATCAGCCCATTTCCAGTCAATTTCAATTCTGTAAAGAGTGAAAGATTTTTCTGAGCCTATACAATGCTTTCGTCAACATTCTGTGCTTAGTCAAGTTTATATTCATATGCAAAGGATTACAGAAATTATAAGATTCCATTTTTAAGGGTTTTCAAATAGTTGCCTCCAACTCTGAATGAGAAAAAGTTAACTCTTTGTTTCTACGTCCACAAAAGATATAGCAGTATAATCTCTAGGCTCCACACAAATAAACATCTCTGTCCATATCTAATAGCATGAGGGAAAAATGACATGTTTTAAAGCAAATTCTTCAGTTGTTAGAAAGACTGGATTTTCTGCTCTTGCTCATTTCACTTGAAGAAGTAAATGTCTAGTTTCTTCTGAAAATTAGCCCAGTCTACGAAACAGTGGAACTAACTGAACTCCCACCACTACTTGGCTCCCGCATTCTTCCACAAGTCCAGAACAAAGCCCCCATTGATTTAGACATGTAGGCGGATTAGAATTGCAATGCAGCCATGTAGCACATTACTGCACAGAGAATCCATCCTGATAAGTCAAGGCAGCCTTCTCCAGATTTCTCTCCCTGCTTTCCTTAGCAATATAATTGCAAGTCCACCACATAACAAGGAAGTGTTATGTACCATAAAACAGGCCTGTCTATGTATTCTTAAATATGCATTATATTTTGTAATTTGCCTGCTTAGACTTAGTACTGTTTCAAACCCTCTTTAAAATTAACACATGCTAAGTCTAGCAGTCCAAGTTCTTAAATGTCCAGTGTGAACCTGGAAAGAAGATATTACTATGACAAATGAAAGGCCCGGAAGAAAAAACTTACAGGGAGAGGGGCTAAGTGGTAGACAACAGGAATCAGAGGAGACAGCACAAGCGGGAACCAGCTTTCGCTGATTTTCTGTATCTTTAGAATTTTATAAACCACATTTATGAACCATTTTAGTGGTACCTACTTCCTAATATAATCTCCAAGCACAGACTGAATACCTAAAGTAATAGAGTATATTGATTAATGTGTTCTCTGTGCTCAAAATGTTTCCAAAGTGCAACAGAGAAGGCTATGCCAAGTTTTAGCAAAGGCCTAATAAACAGGGCAGACTGATCAGATAACCAAATAGATGATTTCATAAACTTTTAAAAAGTAGTTACGAATAATTTAGATTTTTTTCTTCTGAATAACTGAAGTAAATACAATGTGTAGTTCTGACACAACACACCAAAGTGATAGATACCTCTAACTGCACTTCCACTCAGTGTTTCTTGTGATGCTTTAGTATATGAACTTTAAGAACAGTCACACTGAGTAAAACGCTTGTCATTGTCACTCTTAAAGCCAGAATAAAATAAGCATTGTAAGAAACCCACAAACAACTTATATGAATATATGTACACATTAAGACAGAGCCTAGTTCTAAATACCACCTATGTCTGAATAAAACAAAAGAATTTCTCCCCTAAATTATCCTCTCAGGTCAGGGAGAACTGTTTTGTATTCTACTTCTTACGAAGTTTCCCAATTAGTTCATTTTAAACCACAAATTACTGTGGAGAAATCAAATTAGCTTGAAATGACCTCAGACAATACATTTTAGAAGTTTGTTTTTGTGTTCAGTTTTGCTTTTTAAGAAGCAAAAAAATTGATCCAAATTTTTATAATTATCCCTGGGAGGTATGGCTTTAAAATTAGAAATGCTAAATGTTGTCAAAAATAAGCCTTTTAAAGAATATTTTATTATGCAGGAGAGTAAATGGCAATATTGTAAGCCAATAGAAGAAATGAAGAACAAAATTTCACGATTATTATGTGAAACAGTAAAATTTCCAATGGCAGCAATCATATACAAATTTAAAAAGTACTATATCCCAATTTATTTCTGGAAATGAATACCGTAAGATCAGGAAAACTGCTGATGGCTCAAAAAGTACTTTAATTACCACCGATCCCTAAAACATATGTAAAGAATTGGAGTAAAATGGTTCCATCCTAATGTTTTATAAATCTGATTTAAAACATGCAAATTAATAAATATTTTAAATAGAGATCTCTCATTATTTCATCTACATCCCTCAAGTTCTGATAGATTTAGGCTGGCAAAAGCCTTCTCTAAAAATCTTTTGAAAGGGAAAATGAGAAATAACTTATTATTTGAGATTATCTTTTATGTATATGGTAAATTTCATGATATGACTCCAGGAAACAAAATGATAGCCCAAAGGGGGTTCTTTATGAGAACTAACCAATATTTAATAGAGTAGCACCTATTCTAAAATATCAGTGCCAGAAATACTAACACAAGTTAGCAGCGAGCAGTGACAGTCTGGCCACGTGTCCAGATATGAATTTTCATTGCTCCTATAGACCAGCTACAAGTCACCCAGGTAAAGGGATGACCTGCTGACACTCTTCTATTCTCTACCCACTTTTGTCCCTACACAAATGAGTTATCCTCAACTGGTACAATGAAAGAACATCAGTTTAGAGATTAATATACAGCGGTTGTATGGAATGCATCCTTGATGGTAACAGAATTGCGTGAGGGAAAAAATATTTTCCTTTTTTCAATTTTTAATGCTTTATTTCAATATAACTATGCTTATAGAAATGCAATCATATTGGTTAACAGAATGCAATTTAAGTTTAACTTATCCTACACAATTTATTTTTTCTTTATGATAAAACTTTTATTATTCATTTGAAAGCAAATTATTAGTGTACTTATATTTAAAAATACACAAATTTCTCCCCTTAGGTATAATCCCTATAAATCTCCTACTACCACACTACCCATGAACCATCACCATATTTCTTTGTACTTTCCCTCCTCTTTTGACCCCTTTCCCACCTCCTCCCCTATTGTATTTCTCAGATCTATAATTTGCTAGTTTTGTCTTTTTCCTGACCCTTTGCTCGGTTTCCCTACATTTCCCCTATAAGTGAAACTATCTCATTCTTTTCTTTTTCCTTCTGACTAATTCCACTGAGCATAATTCCTCCCAGCTCCATCCATGTTACTACAAATGGCACGCGTTTATCTTTTTGATCACTGAGTAATACTCCATTGTGTGTTATATATCACACCTTCTTGACCCATTCATCTGTCTTGGGGCATTTAGGTTGTTTCCATATCTTGGCTACTGTAAATTGTGCTGCAATAAACACAGGAGTACAGGTTTCCTTTCAAATTAATATTTTTGGGTAGAGACCTAGGTATAGAATTGCTAGATAATATGGTAGCTCCATTTTTAGTAATTTGAGGGTCCTCCATACAGCTTAGAGGAAAAGAATATTTTCTCTCTTCTTTATTTACTCTGTACCAATTCAAAGTTATCACTTTTCTTTGCTTCTTTCAAAGTTTTCCTAGCTGCACAGGTCACTGTGAAAACTAAAAATGTTGGGGCCTCCCTGGTGGCGCAAAGGGTTAAGCACCGCGCTGTGAGGTAACCCGCAGCCACTGCAGCATGAGTTCGATCCCCGGCCAGCCAGGAAGCAACCCACATGGTGCAGCAGACCTCTCCTGATTCACCTGCTGCTCCCCTCAGCAGTGTATTTCGATCAGTCTGCCTGTTCTGTTCCCCGCTCTCTCTGATGAATCCTCTCATCCCCTGCATTTCTGGCCTGTACCCCAGCTCTTCTATGCATAAATAAATAAATCTTAAAAAAAAAAACAAAACTAAAAATGTTGGAAGACTCAGTGGCAGAGATAGCAGGGATGTGAGACTTTGAGCATCTCGAATAACTTCAAATAATTTTCTTGCTCCACTTTATCTACAATAGGAAAAATGACAACAGTATATCATAGCTGAAGTTGAGACACAGGATCAAACAGTCAGCCATTTTACCCTGATCCCTCAACTTCAAAGTCCTTTGCCATAATGATACCCTCACAAGAAAGTCATCAAAAAAAAAAAAAAAAGTAGAGTATGCCAATCTCTTTAGGAATGTCCTCATTCATTTCTGGTAGGAATGCAAAACTGCACAGCCACTTTAGAAGAGTTCGGCAGTTAAAAAACTGAACACACTCTTACCATATAATTCAGCAAATACCTTTCTTGGTATTAAACCCAACAAGGTGAAAACTGAGTCCTCACAAAAGCCCGCACATGCAAAACTGCCAAAACCTGGAAGCAAATGCCCTGCTAGAGATGAACTGGGAAATAAGTACTGGTAGATTCATACAATGGACTATTATTAAGCAATAAAAAGGAAAGAATTATCAAGTCATGAAAACACATGGAGGACACAAGTGCATACTAACAAATGAACTAAGTCAACCTGAACAGGCTACATACTGTTATGATTCCAACTCCATGACTTTCCGTTAAAAATAAATAAATAAAACTATGGTGATAATAAAAAGGTCAATGGTTGCCAGGAATTTAGAAGGGAAAAAATGGCTAAATAGGTGGAGCTCAGAGGAATTTTAGGTCAGTGAACTCCCTTAACTTTGCTACAACAACAGTGTTCGTGATGTCATTAAGTATTGTTCAAACCCAAAGAATGTACAACATCAAGAGTGAACCCTAATGTGAACCATGGACTCTGGGGGATACTGATGTGTCAGTATTGTTTCATCTATTATGCAACAAATGTACCACTGTGGTAAGGGACCTGAAAACCCGAGAGGCTCTGTGTGAGTGGGGGGAGGGTGGAGGCTGGTAAATCTCTTACTTTTCAGCTCCATTTTGTTGTTAACCTAAAACTGCTTAAAAATGAAGTCTATTAATTTTTAAAAGAGCATTACTGCATTACTGAGCTTCATTTAAAAGACTTGTTTTAGAGGTCAAATCAACTCTGTCATAGTCTTTCAAAAGGAGTTTTCATTCAAAATTATTAAAATGGAAGAACATTTGTATGGCCAAAAAGTTGTTCAAAGGCCAGCTTCTTAAGTCTAAATCAGCAAAGCTAAGCAAAGGGGGGCGGGGCGGGGGAGGGGAACTAATAAAGTAAAATCTGACCAATCTCACAACATAAAATAAAATTAGCAGACTCACACAATCTAACAACGTAAATGTTAGCACTAGCATCAAGCTATTTTAATGCAGATGTAACATACTGGTCCATTTAAAACAAAGAAGGATTCTACTTAGAAACTGAACAAACCATCATGGCATCTTACATAGCACCTGTGGAAAAAAACAGTCAATATAATTAATGTTTCTCTTATATTTTCATGTTACTGTCATTATTCAATACAATAAGCTACCCTGTCATTAAAAGATAACTACAGTAATAAAAACACATTTCTATTCCACAAGAGTCTGTGGAATCTATTCTAAAGACTGGTAATACTGGTTAGTTATTTCAAGCAAAACTATCTCCTCTTCGGCTTTTCAAATTCAGATATCTGAAATATGAAATAACTTTTATCAGTCCATCGAATACTGATTAGGCTCTTGGAAAAAGACTTGTGCTAAACCAACCCAACTGACTTATACATCACATCAAGGAGCACATGTTTGTTTTGATGAGAACTATTTTTGTCAAACACAATGGGACCAGTTATCTGTACGGGGCAAGTCCTCACAGAGAACCCAAGTAGAGATCAGAAGGTTGCTCGGTAAGCAGAGAACTGGAGAAAATGGAAGTTGAACTTTCTCAGGCAACAGTACTATGAAATGATGGCAAACTGCCCTTCTCTCTTCTAGAGACAGTTCTCTCTAAAAATAATCAGACCAGTTGTCTAAAATTAGAGCACTCCCCTCCCAAAGAGTAGGACATTGGTTAAATGTCCATTTTTACTCTTCCTTTTTCTGTTTTCAATATTTCTCATATGACACTAAAGCTTCTGCTATCACAGGCATACATCATGATCCCCAAAATCTCCGTGTTGCCTTTAACCACAATTTAAAAATGAATTAAAATTAATTCACCTATTATAAGTTTAGTTTCCTCACCTTGACTCCAGACATAGGGATTTGAGGATCTGATCTCATTACTTGAGCTTTTAGACTTAAATGCATTTTGAAAAGCAACTGACTTTCCAAAGTGATCTTTGCGGCTAACACCTCCTCTGTGGATACAGAAATTCATGGGATCCAAAATTAGTAATAACAAAGTAACAAATAAGATAATGTTCCTGTTAAGGATAATCTTTCTGAATAAATAACTTTCATAATTTTAATCTGTATTTAAGTTGCCAAAGAAAAAAGCACATTAAGATGCACACACACAAATAAACATAAAGCAAAATACACCTTTAAAAGGTTAAAAAAAATTAACAGAGTTGAATAAATTTAAGAATTTTATTGCTCTAAACAGATAAGCTCCAGAAATGAGAGAGAAAACTGATAAAAGTGAATCAACACAAGTAACAGTTCTGAGAACAAACTGAACAGAACAGGAAAGAGGGCACTCGAAAAGGCTTTTACAAATAGCCAGCACTGATGTCCACAACCATCAGCCTCCCCTGTTCAGAATGACTGAATGGATCATGTCTGAAACTGCAGTATAAAAAGAAAATGCTATAGAATTATTCCACCAAGTACTTCAAAGGAACCTCCACTTGTCCAAGTGGGGCACACACTATAAAATGCTTTCTAGACATAAAAAAGACTTGGGATTTCACTCTGAGTGAGTGGGAGCTACTGCAGGGTTTGAGGCCCCTTCAGGTAGCTCTGTTCAGAACAGACCTTCAAGAGGCAACAGGCAAAGCAAGAAGGCCACTCAGGAGCCGCTGCAATGACCCAGGCAAGAGCTGAGGCTGGCATGGGCCAGTGGGGTGGCAGCAGAGATGCTGCTGAGAATCAGTCAAATTCTGGAGACATTCATTTCCTCGAAGAGTTACAGGGCAGAATGACCCTGTTACAAAAGGAATCCCCAAGTTCCCACATTTCAACAAACGTACAAGCTTTTCCAAAAAGTGGGGAGAAATGGAAGGAAAATTTAGGTTTGAGCCCATTTTCACTTTCTAGGTTCTTACTTCTGATCTCTATAAAATGGACAAAGGCAACCCAAACTGAGTACCTTTTAATTAACACCAGTTACCCAAACAAACTCAAAGCACAATCTTGGATTTTCAGGCTATTTCAAGAGAGTGCACTAAAAAGGTCAGTCATTAGATGACAACTAGGTTAAGCACTGTGATCAAATATTTAGGACAGGGCTTTAAATAGTGGGGAGGGACATGCTGAGATTTGTAAAAATATTTTGACCATGTACTATATTTTCAAGTCCAAGTGATTTTGTCAAAATTTGTATCAAAGCTTCAAGAACCATGATCAAACCAATAACATCAATTACAGAGGCCATTCAACATGAGGAATTAATAACTGAGATGGCAGAAAAGTAAGGAAACAAGTGGAGACCCCCCACTTTGCACTGAAGTGGAACTGGAAGAAGCATGGTCCACGTAAACCACCTCATACTAAAGGTCTATCATGGTCGTGAAGTAGGACATGCTGATACATGAGGTCTGGTGCTCAGCCATCGCAGAACAAGGGAACAGAAAGAGGAGAGCGACCCCTCCTGCCTGTCCAGAACCCAATCCCTAGCTTGGTTCCAGTGTTTCCCTAGGCTGATGGACAAAGATAGCAAGGGATTATAAACTACTCAAGACACTGGATACATAATGAAATAAAACTACTGAGGTGTTTCCCCTCATGTTTCTCACTTTTCATCAACCCCCAACCCCATGAGAGCATTCTTTTGTTTCTTACTAGAAAAATCAAACTAAAAATAATGAAGCTTAATTGGACAAGATGTCCTTCTCATCTATTCAGGAATAGAGGCAAATGGAAGGCATTAATGTGAACTGTGTCTAACAGTCCCAAGAAAGTCTGGTGAGTGAATAACCTTTCAAAGGGAAAATGGATTCTTCATTTCCATTTTTCTTTACCATTACAGAGGCATATTTATAGATTCGGTGTTGGAAAGGAATGGCCAAGTTCTTTCTTTATTCACAGCTATAAGATCTGGTAAAATGACAGAATGAGGTTTTGTAATATGTTGCTTATGACAGCTGCAGAAACGTTTATAGAAACTGGCCAGACAATATGATGTCGAATCCACTGAATTCATACGTCCCAGGGTGCCAAGAGATTTAGGAGCTGTCATTGAACTATCTCTTACCCTTCCTATCCATACAGGACAAACTGAGAGGTACAAGTCAAAACACTGAAGAATTTGTTTTAAAGGAAACGAAGTTTCACAAACTCTCCAAAGATATGAGTTTTTCTCTGCCAAATATTTGAGCTATTCATTCCAATCACTGTACTATGTAAATTAACACCATACCCACAATGGGCTAACTCTAGAAATTGTAAATTCGCTATCTCGGGGGACAAATAGTATAGGAGAGGGACTACAGGTTATTGGTACCCAAAATGAGCAAACAAGGAATACAGAGAAACCAAACAGAAGGTCAAGAAAAAGACAAAACTGGCCAGCAGAATATAGATCTGAGGCATACAGCAAGCGAGGGGAAAGAAGGGTATCAAAACAGGAGGAAAGAGAACAAGGGACTATGGTGATGTTTCACAGGTGATATGGTGGTGGAAGAACTATGGGAACCACAATGATGTAAGAAAATAAAAATAAAAATAAAAATTTTAAATTTTAAATGAGCAAACAAGATGATCAACCGGGATGTTTGGGAAGAAAATATTAGAAACCTTCTAAAATTTCTATTGACTATAGAATATACTATACAGTATACATGTGTGTCATATGTAAGTTAATCGCTATACCTACAGTATGGGTGTATGCCAGGAAATATTTTATTGCAAGTGTGCTCGATTAGAAAAGTTTAGCATCAAAGAGCTACTTGGAACCCACACTTGCAAAGGAACACGAATGCTGGGTAGGCTACTGAGATATCCTGAGGGTACTCTCCTAACTTAAACATTCTTTCCCTGTTCAAATGTATGTATAATTTTATTCATCTATTTTGGAAAATATTGTTAGACAAGAAAAATAAAGCAGTGAATAAATCTTTATTTCAGTCTAAACCTAGGAGATTTACGTGGGATTGAGGCTGTGCTTGAATTTTGGAGTTTTCTTTTGAAAACTAAATGAGATAAAGGCCAATCTTTACATCCAAAGGTAGGTAGGTAAATGGGAGAGATTTCAATTATTTCCATTTAGTTACTTGATGCAGGTAAGGTTTCATCTTTCACTGTTGCAGCACTGAAAAGAGAATTTCTGAGATTTTTTTCTTATATACTACAAAAGGATTGTGAATTAAGAAACACAAAACTAATAGGCCAGAATAAAAAGGATCACTTTGCTAATTGATAAAATGTCATAGTCTTCTATAATGGAGAATGGAATCTGCCCAGCTCTTCCTCAGGCGAGTCCTCAGACTCCTCTTCATTAGTGGAACATGCAACTTGGGTTCAAAGTTATTTTACAGAGAACAGCCTCTAACTCAAGGTTTCTATGGACTGGAGTCCTTTACAAGCTGATAGTCCCCCTGTGAATATGGTGGTGGGAGTGAGGGAACTGCTTAATAAACTATGCCTGTCACACTTTAGATGTTCTTCTCTTCTGCACATGATCAAAGAACAAACCACATACATGTGTAAACTTTTGTGAATGTACTTTTTGGACAACAGTACTTTTTTCCATATGCAAACCCCTCAGCCTTTTCTCAGTTGTAGCCTTATAGAGCATAAGAGAATAAGAAAGAAAATTCATAATTTTTTCTTGATAATACTATATGAAGGAGAGAAATTATGCACACTCAATGCACAACTTGCTAAATTGTAAGTAAGTCTAATTAACTTGCAAGTCTATAAAAGACACATAACTAATGTCACTATGTAGCTCACTTGAAGAAGAATTTCATTTTAATTTTTTTATATACTGAAGAACTTTTTTTTATAATAAATTTTATTTTTATATTCCCCATACAATTGCAACCCCCTTATTTTGACCCCAATCTCTCCCCTCCCGCCCCCTACCCCCATAGAGTGTCTCTGGTTCATAGTTTTTTGTTGATATTGATTTTCACTTTCTTATAGTTATTCATTTTCCTGGTCCCTTATTTAAGTTTTCTAGATTCCTGCTATGAGTGAGACCATCCGGTATTTTTCTTTTTCTTTCTGGCTTATTTTGCTGAGCATGATCCCTTCCAGCGCCATCCATGCTGCTGCAAATTGCACGTGTTTATCTTTTTTGAATGCTGAGTAATATTCCATTGTGTATATGTGCCACATCTTCTTGATCCAGTCATCTCTTTTTGGGCATTTGGGTTGATTCCAAAGCTTAGCTATTGTAAATAGTGCTGCTATAAACATAGGGGTGCAGGTGCTCTTTGGAATTGATGTTTCTGTGTCCTTTGGGTAAATACCTAGGAGTGGAATTGCTGGATCATATGGAAGCTCTATGTTTAGTAGGTCAAGAAATCTCCACACAGCTCTCCATAGTGGTTGGACCAGTTTGCACTCCCACCAACACTGCAGAAGAGTTCCTTTTTCTCCACACCCTCGCCAACATTTGTTGTTGCTAGTTTTTTTGATATGTGCCATTCTCACTGGTGTAAGATGGTATCTCATGGTAGTTTTGATTTGCATTTCCCTGATTACAAGTGATGTTGAACATTTTTTCATATGCCTGTTGGCCATTTGCATTTCCTCTTCAGAGAAGTTTCTTTTTAGCTCTTCTGCCCATTTTTTGACTGGATTATATTCTTTGTTGTTGTTGAGTCTCATCAGCTCTTTGCAGATTTTTGTGATCAGAACTTTATCATTAGTGTTGTGTGCAAAAATGTTCTCCCAGTTGGTGGGGTTTCTCTTTGTTTTTGTTATTGTCTCTTTTGCTGTGCAGAAGTTCTTTAATTTGATGTAGTCCCAGCTGTTTATCTTGCCTTCACTATCACTGCTTTGGGTGATGTGTCTGTAAAGATGTCTTTGATGTGAATATCACATAGTGTTTCGCCTATATTTCCTTCTATGTATTTTATGGTTTCAGGTCTTATGTCTAGTTCTTGAATCCATTTTGAGTTGATTTTTGTGTATGGTGTGAGGTAGTGGTCAAGCTTCATTCTTTTGCATGTCGCGACCCAGTTTTCCCAGCACCATTTATTGAACTAACTTTCTTTGCTCCAATGCATAGTCTTTGCTCCTTTGTCAAAGATTAGTTGAACATAAATCTGTGGGTTTATTTCTGGATTTTCTATTCAATTCCACTGGTCTGTATGTCTGTTCTTGTTCCAATACCATGCAGTTTTGATGATTATGGCTTTGTAGTATAGTTTGAAGTCTGGGAGTGTGATGCCTCCCTTCCCTTCTTTTTTTTTTTCAGGAGAGCTTCGGCTATTCAGGGTTTTTGGTGATTCCATATGAATAAGAATTTCATTTCAATTTTAATTAAACTACTCTTTAAAGTTCTTTCAGAGAATAGGAAAAGAAAACTTTTCCACTCACTTTAAAAAATTAATATAGTAACTACCAAAGAGGGGTAAGTAATAAGACAAATTATAGGATATAATCAGTTACAAAAAACTATGAATGTAAAACATTCTGCAAATTAAATACAGCAATATATACTTTTAGTCCCAGAATTATACAATTGCTTTCAAATTTAAATCACCTTTTCATTTTACCACATCCCCTGAAGAAATCTTCAAACTTGTCCTTTTCTGAATATACAAAACACATATTTTATAGACTATGCAAAATAGTTTCCTTTCCTTATATCTTGGTTTCTTATATGCCTGATTCTCTTTATGTGCTGGACATTGTATATTAAAAAGCATATATACATATCTATGAAATATATATGATTGACACTAAGTAACTCCCTCCAAAAGAAAGCTCAATTGTTTATGACAGGTACCTGGTAGTGACACCCAACTGGCTCAACCTTAATCCAAGTTCAAAGCTTGAGAGTCCCTGGATTACCCAAGTGATACAAAACTGACTCTAATCTATTGGCAGGATGGTATTACCTCCATTTTCTCCTTGACCAAAGGGTTATCACATGGCGTCCTTTAATGGGCCCCAGACTTTGACACTGGCTTCCACGACCTGTGAGGCTATTTTGCAACTATCTCTTTTAGATTGGAAAATATGCTCTATGGTTCCTGCCTTTTTCTAAGTTAATTTCTACCTACTTGGTTAGGACTTTGAGATGTTTTATGCCACTGAGAAGGACTTTTCTAAAAAGACTAGCTCAACATTATCAAATAGGGAAGTAAGTTCTCTCTAGTAACATCTAAAAAAGACAGCACATCCAAGTCAGGATTATTGCAGGAATGCAAGGTTGGTTCAACAGGGTTTTAAATGTTAGTGTAATCTATCATTCTTACAAACTAAAGAAAAATTATGTAGTCATTTCAATAGGCAAAGGGAAGATGCTTGATTAAATTCAATACTCTTCAATGAAAAAAAATTCAACAAACTAAGAAAAATAGACAACTTTCTTAGCCTGACAAAGGTTACTAACCCAAAACAATAAGCATTTAGCAAAGTCACTTTTAATGGCAAGCTGAATTCCATAAAAATGCAAAACAAAGGTATCTAGCAAAATGTCATACTGGAAACCCTAGAGGGTACACACACCAAAAAAAGTTAAAACACAAGGAAGAAAGGAAACATTTATAGGCAATAAATAAAAGCAGCTCAGGCTTTTTTTTTTTTTAATCAGAGGAATACAAAAACTACAGTGAGATATTTTACATACATTTGATTGATAAATATTTAAAAATCTGTCAATAAAAGATGTTATAAAATGTATGAGCTAGAAGTGAACTTTCCACGTTATACATAAATGCAGCACTCCATTTTCCCCCTGACTAGATTACTACAATACAATTTTGACTTTAACACCTACAGCTAGCATTAGTTCCCACAGATTTAAGGTTGATTCTCCACACTGCTGTCCTTACTTCAGATACTTGAATTCAGGAGTCCCCAGACTACGTACACTTTTGACCAACTGGCTATAACTTTAGGGTTCTTATGATTGCCTCAGGCTTAATAATTTACTAGACTCACAGGTTATAGCAGGTTATTGAGTAACATCATTTTGTTTGATGTAGTTTTAATGTTGATGAGAATAAAAGAAATCCCACCCAATACTAAGTGAAATAACATTATTTGAGGACCTGATATCACAGTAGCAGTTTCCAAGAATTTGTCAATAACATTAAGTAAGGATGGACTATACTTACAATTACAGATGAAGAACAGCCACAAGGGGAGAGAAACAGGGTGGCTGTGTGGGGAATGCAGAGCTTCTGTGCAGACTCCTAGTGGAATGTAGGAATATCACATCAATGTACTCACCAACCAGGAAGCTCCAATGACAGTACCCAGGGTATTTACTGGGGTTTCACTACACTGACAAAGTCAACTGAATCCCTGCCCATTGGGTGAGTTCAGTCTCGAGTCCTTCCCTCTGCTGATTCAGGCTGGCACAAAGTGTGACACTGTAATCATATGGTTGGTCTTTCTGCTGACCAACTCCCACCTTCAAGCTATCCAGAAGCCCACCACAAATCACCATCAGTTTAACAAACACACTTCATCACTCAAGAAATTTTGAATGTTCCTGAAGCTCTGTGGCAAGAACCTGGGACCAAGACAAGATAAAGCAGGCATACTGTCAAACTTCTCATATATATTTGTTTCTTTAGGGTGGTTTAAGACATGTTCTTCAGACAAAAGTAAATGAGATAAATTTAAGGGGAAGGATAATAAAGGTCACCGGTGAATTTAAAAAAAGCAAAACCTCTGTTTTCAGTCTATTAAAAGAAAACACTGAGCAATGATACCCAAGTTGACTCTGTCCTGTAAGGGGCTCTACCAAAATAAAACAGCCATTCACCACACCCACGTCCCTTCTCTCACTGCTCTCGGCTTAATAGCAGTGTGGGAAAATTGTCTCCGATTTCTCATATTTCCCAGATTGACTCTAGAAGTGTCTACTCCCATTAAGAAAGGCATCTATAAAACGAATAGAGCTTGAAAACCAGTGAAATGAAAAGTTCCCTGACTGTGGACTCGGGACCTTTAATGAAGCAGAAACAAAGACAGGACCTCTGGAGTCCAAGATATTTAAAGGACTGTCTGCAGTCTTTGCCAGGACCACTTGAATTAAATGTCTCCACACCTCACAGTCTTTGGAATGTATTACAGCAAGATTTCACCTATACTCAGAAGCTCACCATGGTCACATTACCACAAATGGTGCCCCCAAATAACAGACTTCATAAAGTGAAACTCTAAAGGTTCAGAAAGTCAAACTTTACCTATGTGCTATTATTTGTCCTTAGCTCCCAAACAGTTCTTTTAATGCTCAAGAGATTTTTTTTTAATCTTAAAAAGCTTAACATGCCCCCATGTTAACCCAAGTACCTACCTGACCCCTGACCAGGACCAATAAGCTGCTAATTTTAATGCAGTCAATTCTTATAATTTTTACTGTTCTAGACATGTCCCTAAAGTGCTATGAATATTGACATAGGGATGACAAAGTTTAGCAAGTAGAAGAACCTGCAAATACTAAATCTGTGAATGAGAATGGACTGTGCAGGGTCTACTCATGTACCTCAAAAAGTAACTACCACAGTTGAGTCTCAAGTCTTCTCCGTGTCCAGAAAATAAAAATTCAAGCTGTACTATTCTTAGTGTCATTTTAAATTAACAGCTATATCTGGATAGTTTCAATTTTCAAGTGAGAAACCCCACAGGAGTTAATAGTTTTATAATACTGTATTTTCATCTGCCTACATGTAAACAAAACATCTATACACACACACACTCCAAGTTACTCATTATGTCTCTTCCTGCATCAATCACCAAAATTCCCTACCTTGACTATGTGTGTGTGTGTGTGTGTGTGTGTGTGTGTGTGTACTCACACGCAAACACAAATACACCTCAACTTTCAAATCTAGAGGCTTGAGAGACATTTCCTGGATCAACCTTTTGTGGAACAACAAAAAAATTGGCTTCCTGACATATAAAATATGATTTCCTAAACAGCAATCTCAAAAAGTACTGTTACTTTGTATAGCGACACAGCAGGTGGCAGGGTGTGATGAAACAGGAAATTTAGAACAAATGTCTCCCACACAACTTCATAGACCACCACAGGGAATAATACATCAGTGCTCAATCCCACATCTTCATTGTCCAACCAGCCATCATTTGCAGGGCTTTCCCTCCTTTAATTCACCTCTTCCCACTGCTCAGCTACCCTTTCTGCCTGTCCAACAATTCTTTACATATTAATAGAAGAAACCTGCCAAGGTGATAATCAACTGAGAGAGACTCCCCCTGAATTCAAGCAGGAAAAAAAAAAATCCCAAATTCCTAATCCCTAAAAAAAAAATCCTAATTCTCTAAAAGGTTATTATCCCCTTAAGTCTCAAATAAAGAAATATAACATGATTATCTCAAAGAATTTTTAAAGCCTTTCCCCCCAACCATCTCCAAAGAGTGAGATTTTAATAACCAACTAGATATAACTTAATACCACCTACACTTATAAAAATCTAATAGAGTTTCCAGAGACCAAAGTGGCCTAGTAAACACAATGGTGCTAAGTCCTGGAGACCATGACCCAGACAACAAAGGGAGAACACAGAGATGTCAGCATCACCCACAGAACTGGAAGCATCCCAGGGACCGCTAGGTATCCACAAAACCTCTCAGTCACCCAAGTTTTGATGGCCACAGTGATGCTCAGAGAACCAGATACAGAATCCAACTAAATTGGTCCAGCTGTGAAGTCATAAAAGGTGAGGAACCAGTCCAGAGGTGAAATGATTTGTTAAAGAATTACTGTATCACAGATTAAACTATTTGTGTATTAACTTCATATAGGCGCAATGGAAGTAAGCTTTATTAGGCAACAAAATTACCAAAGTTTTAAAAAATATAAATTGTGTCATTTCATTCCCAGTTCAGACCTTTCAGTAATTTCCCAAAGCACTCTGAACTTAAAAACTCTAACATACAGCATAAAAAATGTTCACAGTGAAGTCTAAGTGTCTCTTACCTGAGTTCTACACACCCCCTACAATCCAGCATGTTCATTCATCTGTCCATTCACTCAATCACTCTTTGAGTAATTATTTGTGAAAAGTCTGCCATGTGCTGGGCACTGTGCCATCCCAAACTACTTAAAATTACTCACCCAGGTCATTCTGATTTTGGACTCAGTGCCTTTGCCCTTGCCATTCTGTCTACTTGGAATGTCATCTCTATCCCCTACTTCTCAGTATACAAACAGTAAGGCATTAAACTGCATTTCTTAACAGTTTTTATTTATCTTGATGAACAGCTCCCATCTGTCTTACTTTAATGTTGTAGCATAAAAGTGATAATGAAATGCTCTATTGTTCCCGGATACACACAAGTTATTTTGAAAAATCTGCAAGAAAGACAAAATGAAATGCCTATTTGCCAGCATATAAAGGGACCTGAAGAGCTGACAATGACCCTAAAAATCACTCCTTCAGTTCTCCAGAAGTTACAGTGCAGTTTATAATATGAAGATATATATTTTTAAAATAAACCAGAGTTCAACCATAATTTAAAATTATTTTAGACAACAAAAACTTACCATCAGTCTATCGCCTACCAAATCTAAGACAAGAACACTGCTGGGATTTCCATTATTAATTCAAATTAAAATCATTTTTCCTAAAAGCTCAACCAGTGATAAGATTCCTGGTATTTTGATTTATCAAAATTTATGACTACAGCCTACACATGGATATTATTTCAAATATCCCAGAACCACAGAAAAACTACCAGACTCACAGAATACCAGATACACTCCTGAAAAGTCTTTGTTTTTTTTTTTTTGAGTTTAAGGACACTAATATTTAAAAACATTAACAGCTTAAGATCAAGGTCACACCATCCTGAAGTGACAAGATGGAAATCTGAGTCCTACCAACAAACACCCCATACTCTTACCTCTCTAATGTCCCTAAACTGAAGGCGACTCAGGTTTCTCCAATAATCTAAACCCACGTCCAGACTTATGTTAGAAACTGACAAATTCTTGAGACGTAATTTAAAAAACCTTTATAAATCAAACCAGCATCAAGCAGGAAGGACGTAATATTGAGAGATCATTATTTCCCTCAAATGTTTTCAGTCATTAAAATGGCTTTAAGACAGTATTTTCCTAATGTCTGCCCTTTAGTGAATCCCTCACTGTAAGTAAACTACATTCCTAAAGCACCAGGTTAGCAAAACAGACATAAAAGTAACAAATATCTGATGAGAACACTTCTCCAGTGCCTCTGGCACCTCAAAGTGGGAAGAGAAGGAAACAGCCTTACCCTAATGAGGTAACTACTCAAAGTCTTCAGCAAGTACCATACTCAAGATTGGAACATTAAAAGCTTTCTCCTATTTAAAATCAAGAACAAGATGACAAATCCTCGGTTCACCACCTCCATTCCAGGCTCTATTCATAATTCACTGCTTTACTTCCAAGCCTCAGAAACCCTTAGGCAATGCTGCCCTAGTAACACGAAATCCTCCTCTTTCTTGTACTTGGTCAACTGAGGAAAAATGCAAAGATCCCAGTCTGGCTTAGGCCCCACCCGCAGTGAGGCCCCTATGCAGTGTGGGTACAGGAGCACGTTCCTTGAACCCCAATCTTGATCTCCTCAACTAGAAAGTGGGGGTAGATCATTCCAGTGACAATGTATTTATTGAGTTCCCACTAGCTGACAAGATAAATAATGGCTTTAAGACAAACATGAAAACAGATATATTGCTATGAAGAAAGGCAATATAATAAAAGGTATGAAAAGATTTTAGAAAACATAGATAAGAAACCAATTAATTCTGCCCTACATAAATCACAGGACTGTCATTAGAATCAATTGAGAAATGACATGTGAAACTTTTTTTTAATAAATAACAAATCCTTCTATGAATATGGGATACATCATTACTAGGATATATAACCTGGCACCTGTGTTTTAGGACATGGTAACTGAATGAACTCTGTATTACCTGTATAAGCCAACAATGTACAAAACCCAAGACATTTAGATGAGTGTGCCAATAATGTACCACGTGAAAGCTCTGAGAAGACTAGCCTTTTTAAAAATTGATAAATATAATTCACCCATTTAAATTGTAGAATTCAAAATATTCCTAAGGCTATGCCGCCATCACCACTAATTCCAGGACATTTTCAACTCAAAATGAAACTCCACATCCACAAGTACTCACTCCCTATCCCTTTCCTTTCCAAGATCCTGGCAACACTAGTCACTTTCTATCTCTATGGATTTGTTTATACTAAATTTTTCATATAAATGGAATCCTACAGTCATGTGGGCTCTGACAGCCTGAGCAGTGGTCATGTAACAGGGTAGTCCCCAGGAAAGGGGGAGGTTCCAGGTTTCCTGACCCACCCAAGGGAGGGTGGAGCTGAGCAGAAAAAAGAAGAAGCTGCAGAAGAGAGTGGAAAGGAAGGAAGCAGGATGGAGCCAGAAGGAGACCTGGAGGAGGCACATGGAGCCGAGAGACACATGA